CCTAATTTTAATAAATGAAAATAAATTTTATCATCGAATTAGATGAAGACATGAGTCATTCAAAAATTTATTTATTAGATTAAACATATTTAATAGTTCTTAACCAAAATAAGAGTAAGAAGGAAGTTGAATGATTGAATTTATAATTTACCTTAAAAATTAATCAGAGAGGGTCCAACTCCGTTATATCTGCTAGCCACGCGTCGACTATATACTACCAAACCAACCAGAAACAATCTACTCACGGGAGCACCCGATCTAGACTCTTCAATTGAAATGAAATCCAGTTTGTGTAGCCTAGCCAGAGCCCAGAAGAACAGAGGGCCATGGAAGAAAGTAACAAAAAAGTTGGATAGCAATCCGACAACGTTATCAACCTATTATTATTGCCCCCAACCCCATTAACTTCCTTCCAGTTTTTCTCCAATTTCCTCCAGTTTTTCTTTCAATCCAAACAAAACCCTCTTCTCTAATCTCTCCGCTTACATTTTATTTCTTTTTCTCTTTTAAGATTTTTGTGTTTTTAAAGGTGATTTGATACAATGTATTCCCTAATTAATTGTTTCTTTTTGAAATTGATGAACTTTCACGTGATCTCCAAAGTTCAACTTGCATTCTCTCTAATTATTTTTTTTCACTCTCCTATTTTTTTTAGATTTACTTTGATCTACGAACTTTTAACTGAGAAGTGGAATAAATTTAAGCTAGATTAATCAGATGGATCTGTCGATTTTGATTCTTCAGATTTGTGACTTTTTAAAAAATGAATTATAGATTTCTGTTGTGTATTTGTGGTAAAATACGGAGTTTGATTTAAATCTATCAAGTTATTTTTTAATTTCTTTGGTGAAAATTTGTAGGCATTTGAGTTTGTGTGGATTCGAAATACTCTTTTGAGCATCAATGGATCGTGCGGAACTGACTACTGAACAGGTGATCATCTGATCATCACATATGCTTTATTTTTTACGATTTTATAATTTTTTTGATTTTTTATTGGGATTCGAAAGCTAGTGGATCATATGACCATTGCTATTTTAATTTTCTTTTTGCTTTTGGAAGCAAAATTGAAGCGCGATTGAATATAAAAGCAAATGATAATTTTGAAGAATTCAACAGTAAAATTGTAGAACATATTTCCTTCAAGGATCAGGCACTAAAAATATGGCATCCTGTCATGGTAGATTTGGCTTACTTGCATGGATGGTTCTTTTCATTTTAAGTTATCGAATGCGAAAATCAGTTCTTTGTTATTGCTTTTGTGTTTTAGGTTTTGAAACCATGAAAAGTATGGATCTTATCAAAATATAGGTTAGGCGTTCTCCTAATGAACTGCTTTGATGGGCTACACAAGTTTTTGGATTCTTTTAAATGCTTCCAATTTTTGTCTGTTCAACTCATCATAGGCAGCGAAACACATTTTTATTCATTTTTTAAAACAAGCAAATTATATTTGCCCTTTTTTATAATTTTCCTGATCCTATTTTATTAAAAATTCTATATGGTGTTATGTTTTTCTTGTGGTTCCCTGTTTAAAAGAATCTAAATAATTATTCTTTAAACTTTTCGAGGATTAGTGGTGATTCCATGCTGATAAATGCTTTTATTCTCCTTTAAAGGTTCTTAAGAGGGATATCCCATGGGAAACATACATGACGACGAAGTTGATTTCAGGAACAGGCCTTCAGCTGTTAAGGCGTTATGATAATAGAGCTGAAAGTGTCAGGGCACAGTTGTTGGATGATGTAATTTTTTATATCTCTTCTTAACATATGAGTTGGGTATCATTTTGTGGATATGTTCCTTTTCCCTCTCCTATTAATTCACTAGTTCTATTAACTTCTCTTTCATTATAAACTGATTAAGGTTTTTGAAAGGGAAATCTTGGATGGTCTTCACAATAATATTGATTGGTGAAATTAACTGTGACAGGATGGTCTGGCCTACGTCCAAGTGTTTGTTAGCATATTACGTGATATCTTTAAAGAAGAAACAGTGGAATATGTTCTGGCTTTAATTGATGAAATGCTTACAGGTATTTGAACTTTGAAGAATGCTGGTTTTTTGACAATTGCATTCATCATAAACAAATTTATTTGCTGATATTTTCTATTGCAGCCAATCCAAAAAGAGCCAGATTATTTCATGACAAGTCTCTTGCTACTGAAGATACTTATGAACCTTTCCTAAGTTAAGTTATTCCCCTCAAAATTGCTTTCATAGTTAATTTGTGGCCTTTTTTTTGTCTGTGTGGACAAGGTGGCTGATACTCTAATATCTTTCAACTATGGCCAGTGGCACCCTAAAATAGTGTATTGTGGCTGCTTGATGACTGCTTTACAGTTAGAATCACCTTTCTTAATGTTATATCTATGCATACTGGCTTCACTTGTCCATTATTGCATTTGTTTTCACTCTAAATTTTGTTGATTTCTCGGTGCTGAATCGCTTTATAATTTTAGTGACGGCTATGATCTTTTAGGATTTTTTTTTCTTTAAAAAATGAAAAGTAGGTGTTGGACCCTTAAAGTTACAGAATTTGGTACCCTAAAAAATGGTGTAAAGTGTCTGCTTGGTGACTCCCTCACAGTTACAATCATCTTTCTGAATATTGTATCTATACATATTGGCTTCACTTTTCTTTTATGGAATTATTTTGACTCTGAAATGAGTTGATTCCTTTGTGCTGAATCTTCCCTATATTGTTAGTGATGGCTATGCTTTGTAGGACTTCATCTTTCTTTCCTTTCCTTTCCTTTTTTTATTGAAAAGTTGATGTTGGACTTGTACCCTTAAAGTTACAACAGCAATCTCTTCTCTATCACTTTCTTGTTTGAAGTCTGAGTGATGTTGATAGGATTTAGCTTCATATGCATAATGAGTATGTACAAGTATCAGGAGTCTTGATATCTCGCTCACAATGGACTCTTATGTGATTGTTCATTGTAAGTTGTCTCTCTGGTAAAAAATACCAGCATGTTTTTTGAGTATAGTTGTTATAATGTATGAAAATATACATGTATGCAACTGGTGTTGATATTAGCTCAAACATGGTATTTATGAGGAACTTCTGCCACTTTTGCTGCTAGCTGCAAGAGCTTTTAGATGCAAATAATTTTTTTAGCAGAGGTCATCAAGCATTGTTTATTATATATGGCTATCATTGTTATATAATCTGGTTTATTCTTTATTCTACTCTTTGGCTTTATTACCTTTATAATTGAATGAAAGTATTTCTTTGGTAAATGTGAAAATTGTCATCCATGTATACTTGGTTCCTTAACTTGTACTAAATTGTCCAAACTAAAACCATCCAAAATTTGGTGTACTTTCAGATTGTTGTGGAAAGGGAACTGGTTCATACAAGAAAAGAGCTGCAGGATACTTGCCTTGATAGTAAGGTACAAAATGTGTGTTTCATCAAATAAATAAATAAATTTCACCAAACGACATAGTATATTTCATGCTCTATTTAATGATTCTTTACATTCTTTTTTTTCTATTAATTTATAGTGCAAGGCCAAGAACCCAGGATGGTGGTGTTGCAAATGGAGAAGCCTCAAAGATAAGGGGCCCTACCATTAATGATGTACTAAAGGAATTGGTTGACTGGCTTTGCACGCAGGTTCGTTTATTGCTTTGCATTCTGTTTTTTCAGTCTACAATGCTCGTCAATTTCTCATGGCTGGAAGAAGTTGACTGCCTTGGCTTTCTATGATTTTACATTCCTTCTGGAAGTTCCCATGTCCATATTCTAGCCTCTGATAATCTCGTTCTCTTACATGTCCTTGCTGCAAAATGATCTCTTTTGAAGTAGATGCTTTTTATTTCTATCGACTTAGATAATAGTTCTCCTTACTTATTGATGTCCAATGTCTTTGCAGCTAAAGAAGCCTTCCCATCCTAGTTGTGGTATTCCTACTGCTATTAACTGTCTTGCAACATTACTTAAGGAACCTGTTGTCAGGTCTTCCTTTGTTCGAGCGGATGGGGTGAAGTTACTGATTCCTTTAATTACTCCAGCATCGACCCAGCAATCTAACCAGGTATTCTTGTTTTTCACTTTTGAGATGGTTAGGTTTTAAAAGGAGTAACTTTTCCTTCTAAGCCATTTGAGTGGTATAAATCTGAAACTGACAACTATTGTTTGCAACAGCTTCTCTATGAAACATGTCTATGTGTGTGGCTTTTATCTTACTATGAACCAGCAATTGAGTATTTAGCGACATCTAGGGCTCTACCAAGACTGGTTGATGTTGTTAAAAGTTCCACAAAGGAGAAGGTGAGCTATTCTAATGTGCCTTTTATCCAAATTCTGCCTTTTAATGTGTATGCTGCTTTAATAAAATGTATGTGTGGTCATACATCCTTTACTGTGGCATATGAGCAGGATTCTGTTATTTTCCATGCTTTCCTTTGCCCTTCAACTTTTTTCTGCATTTCTGTGTTAGCATTGAATTTTTATCATTACCAAGGACGAATTGCATGCTTTACAGTTCTGTCTGATTAATCTAATTCTATGTTAGTTTAATCGTTTTAAATGTGTTTTTGATTTGTATAATATTTTTTTAACTTGACGAATGGCGGCCAGGTTGTCAGGGTTGTTGTATTGACCTTTAGGAACTTGTTATCCAAAGGCACGTTCGGTGCTCAGATGGTTGACCTTGGACTGCCACAGATTGCTCAGAGTTTGAAAGCACAAGCATGGAGTGATGTGGTAAGAAAACAGATCATTTAATTCTTATCTGGCTATTAATTCTCATATTAAATCCTATTTTTCCTTCAATTTAATTTTTAGATTCAATGCAGCTATAATTTTGTGCTCTTTATATACCGATTCTTGCTTACGGATTTGATTTGGATATTTCATAGGATCTATTGGAGACTCTCAATCACCTTGAAGATGGTCTCAAGGATAACATTAAGAAATTGAGTTCGTTCGATAAATATAAGCAAGAAGTTCTTCTTGGTCATCTTGATTGGTCACCCATGCATAAAGATCCATTGTTTTGGCGTGATAATATTTCATGCTTTGAAGAGAATGATTTCCAGGTATATTTTTTTGTCATGGCTTTCAACGTCTCAAGCTATATCCTTGCTTATGGGTAACTTTATGAAGAGGGAAACTAATTTTAAAAGAAATTAATTTATCCACTGGGTCTGTGCAAAAGTTTCCAACCACATAAATCTTTCTTTTATCTGAAAACTGCAACCTCACTGCCATGCATCTTAACTGCTAATGTGTAAGAAATTTGGTCTTTTGGCATTTCTATTAGACTAGTACTCTTAGAGGCAAGTTGCCATGGTAAATTGGTGAAGTTGATTTGTCAGAATGTAACTTCCTGTTAATTGATTATGTATCAATAACGATCATTTCATATGAGAGTGTAGATCTGTAATTTTTTTTTATGAAGAATTTGTTTTATGAAAAAAGAATGCATCTTGTCCGATAATTCACTAAAATTAAGATTCTGATGTGATGCTCAGTTAGGTGTTACAATCCTTATATGGTGCAAGGTGCTACAAAAAGCATATGCCCAAGTGATATAAGGCATGATACATGCGTGTGTTTGTATGCATGTTTTTGTATGTCTATTTGTGTGGAAGTAAAATAAGCTTAGGTATTTAATGATGATAATGTACTCAAATATTAGTTCAGTTTATTTATCCTACGCACAACAGTGTTTTCTTCTTTCTTGGTCAATATGTATGTTTTACTTATGGTCCTCCAATATCTGATGTTGAATACTCAAAACATTAGAGAATTGATATTATCCCCTTCCTTGATGAAGATATTGTTAGTAAAAAAATTAAAAATAATTGAAATCAGGAGTATTTTAGCACCTACTGCCTTACAAAAACGCACGTCTAGACACATCATGCGGTTGCCTTGATCAAAATGTATCTTGCCCAAAAGGTTATTCATGTTTTCTTTTTGTGCCTTGATCAAATGTGTCTTGTCCGAATGGGTTTGAACTTTTCTGGGGGCAGTGAGGGGTTGTCTTATTCTGATGCGACGAACCTAGTTCACAACTTAGAACACTAGGTGAGTGGTGGTGCCTTTGGCGAGTTGTAACAGTTCATTGATTCTTGCTGATGTGTTTGTCCTCGGAACAAATTATTATCGTTACACTTTGTTCACGTCATCTATTTTCTGATAATTTTTTAGTTATTTTGTTGCTCATCAACCATATCGGGGAAGATCAGGATCAGTTAAAACATGCGTGCTTAGATTGTAAATATCCAAGTAGAAAACTGTGATATTTAGTTATCATGTTGTTCACCAGGTTCTAAGGGTCCTCATTACAATTATGGACTCGTCTACTGATCCAAGAGCTCTGGCTGTTGCTTGCTTTGATCTCTCGCAATTTATTCAGAACCACCCCGCTGGTCGGGTGATAGTAAATGACCTCAAGGCGAAGGAACAGGTGATGAAGTTGATGAATCATGACAGCGCTGAGGTTACCAAGAATGCCTTACTCTGCATCCAGAGGCTTTTCCTGGGAGCCAAATATGCTAGCTTTTTGCAGGCATAGTTTGGCTTACTCGTTCTCGATCACGTCCAGCTGGATGGTAATTAAATTATGTCGGATTACTTGATTGCCAACATTTTAAGGAATAATTGTTTTGTTTTTAATTATTTTAAAAAAAATTTAGTTGTGGTATAGAATAAAATGTATGCAATTTCTTGTTTGCTTAAATAAATTGTGTTGCCATTGTAATGGAAGAACAACTTTTTTTTAATGAATTTTTTTAACTTCAACTCATGGGCCTTGGCCCCTAAATGGTAAAATTATGGGTTTAGTGTTTAAATTTTAAAGGTTTGAGATAAGATGATGTTAAAATTACATGTTGGTCCTCGTAAATAATAAAATTTTAATTTAATCCTTTCAAAAATTGTAAGATAATGATAAAATTATAGCTCAGTCTCTAAAACACATAATTTTTTTAGCCTAAAGGTAAAAAGAACTTTCGAACTTAATTAAAAAAATTATTTAAATCTCAACCTTTACATTTTATATTCAATTGAACTCTTAATCTGAAGACATTTTATCATCTTTGACTGTCAGAAGCTAACGATGTGGTCAAAATGACAGTCAACAAACAGCTTCAGTGTGAGAATCGTGTATACATGTCCTATTTCATTTTTTTTCACTGACAATCATCATTTTAAACTTTTTGAAGTTAATTGGGTGGAAATGTGATCCTGATTTGAAGTTGTTTAAGTTCTATATAGATAATAAAAAAAATTATCAAGCTCCAATCTAAAACCCTATCCTTGATATAAAACCCAAACAGTGACCCAAGAGAACAAAGCCTGTTCATATATCCAGTAGCCCAACAAGCCCAAAATGCTAAGGTTTGAGAAACCCTACCTACACCCAAGAAGCCTCAGCCGCTAGTCTTGGCTTTTCAGCTTCCAACAATGGTCTCAAGCATGTCTCATCAGCTCCCTAGTGTGGTCCCTCTTCCACTTTTCTTACCACGCGAGATGAACACATTTGTTCTCTCTCTCTTGAACGCCTCCACCAACAAGCTCCCAACTAGGCAGGTAAATGAACTAAACGTTCAATGAACCGTTCATGAATCGTGCGGTGGGAAGTTCATTTATGTTCGTTTATTTATTAAATGAACGAACATGAACAAAATTTTGCATTCGTTTAATTAAATGAACGAACATGAACAAAGGGCTCGCTCGTTCATTTACGTTCGTGAACGTTCGATAATATGTTCGTTCATTTATGTTCGAACAGATGGCAAGTTCAATATGTTACGAAGATTATTGAAGTTGTTTGGATTTCAAGAAGATTGTTTTGTTGAACAAATTAACTTTAAGACTTTATTATGTTCATATAGCTTCATTTATGTATGTTTTTGTCGTATTCGAACAAATTAACTCTAAAGTTTCAGGTTATATTAATGAATTTTGTTATTCTTGTTGTTTACTTTTTTTTTACATTCGATTGTTGCGTTCGAATAAGTTTTTTTTTGTGTTGTTCGTTTATGTTCGTTCGTGTTCGTTTATGTTCGTTCGTTCGTGTTCGTTTATTATTTAAATGAATGAACATAAACAAGTTATATTCCTTAATGAACGAACATGAACAAAAAAAATTTCTTCGTTTATGTTTGTGTTCATTTATGTTCGTTTATTAAATGAACGAATATGAATATACCTCCGATCGTGTGCGTTCGGTTCGTTTACAGGCCTACTCCCAACCACCAACAAGCAAGCCCTGTTACCCGAAACTCCAGCAAACATCCACGATGACCTCCACGCCAATAGGAACACTGGCATGGAAGGCCCTCGAGGGGGCCACTGCCCCAAATATTTTTTACCATTAAAAACTTTAGGGAAAACTACCTATTTAGGCTTTTAAATTTTGATTTATTTTGATTTTGACCCCATTTTCTATTGTTAATTATACTTTGCCCCTTCTTGAACTAAATTCCTGGCTCCGTCCCAGGACACCAGTCCCCTCCTCCTCACCAGATCAGTATCTCACATACACAACAAAACAAAAACAAAAGCAAGGATAATTTTCAATTTTTGTTTTTGAATGGGAACGAGGATTATGAAAACCAAAATCAAAGAATGTAAAGGGGTCTCTTTTCCCCCACTCTTCGAAACACATAGAATGTAAAAAGGGATCTCTCCCCATATTCAAAACAGAGAAAACAAGTAATAGAAAACCAAAATAAGAGCATTTCAAGCAAGGTATCTTACCTTTTTGTATCAAATCTACATCATACATATTCTTTCATTTTTGTTTCAAAGCAAAAATAGAGTATAGAAAAGGAAGGGGTTTTCGTTACTATTGTTGGTGGCTCATCGCCCGAGTAGATAAACTGGGAGTCATGGCATCACTGGGAGTTGGAAGGCCAAGGAACCTCTAGCCGTTTTGGGTCTTGCATGTCATTTTAGGGTTTGAGTTAGAAGAGTTAGGAGTCCCCTTTATTTCTCTAGGTATTGAGGTAATAAATCAAGGGCGACTTTCCGTCGCTAGAGTCGGAAGGTGAGAAGTCAAGGCTAGTTTAGGTGTTTAGTGTTCATTTTTTGGACTCTCGATCTTCGGGTTTGGTGTCAAGAGGGAAGATCGAAATGTTTGAAGATGTTTTAGGTTTAAGAGTTGTTTGTTTGCCTCTTAATGGAATCATTCAGTGTTGAATGCTGAACTGTTCAACATTCAACGTGTTTGTTTCGTACTTCGGAATGATTCAGCAAAACAGTGCTAAATGATTAAGCATAGAAGTACATTCTGAATGATTCAGAGCCATTATCAAACAACATGTCATATTCAGAGCTAATTCATACAGAGCCTCTGAATCATTAAACATTTGAATCATTCAGCGCTTAATCATTCTGAAGTAAACAAACAGTCCTTTAGTTAGGGTTCATTTAGCAACCGCTGATGGTGGTTGGCGACATTAGTTTGGTGAGCTCTGGGCTACTAAAGAGATGGACAACTTGAGAGAAAATACAAAGAGGGGAAGGTTTTTTAGGGTATAGATTTCGAATGGTTAAAAAAAGTGGATTTTAAATTAAAACTTCAAGGTTTTTCCTTTCTGGTCGCGTTTTCCCATTCTAGTCACCTTCTTTATTTTTATTTATTAATTCGAATGTTGATGTCCCAACTATGTTGTTTTTTCCTTTTTTGTATTCTTTAATTTACTAAGGCTGAAAAATGGAAAATTTGCTTTAGGTCATCCTAGTTTGTTCTTGTATTTACACTTTAGTCCTCAATTCTCTATTTTGTTCATTTATTTCATATTTATTGTCCTAATATTGCAATTTTCTCATTTTGATAATTGTTTTAATTTTTATTATTACATATTTACTCAATTCGATCTTGCGGTGATCCATTTTGGGGTATGACCCGTATTATTATGATTCAATTTTAATTTTAATTTTAACTTGTTGTTCTTTGTAATTCTCGTATTCGAATTGATTTTACAATCTTGAGAAGACCCGTCCTGGAGTACGACTCACATTATTATAGTAATTTTCATTATTAACTACTAAATACTAACTTTTTAAAATATTCGAATAATTTCTACGACCTCACGAGGACCCCTCTTGGGGTATGATTCGTGTTGTTTATGGTCCAGGTCAAATTATTGAAAAAAC